AGATGGACACAGAGGACCTGGTGATGTGAACGAATTTGGTGATAGCGACTACAGAGGTGGATCACCCAAAATAGAAAGACGGTTAGCACTCAGTTCAAGAAGTTAAGAAATGATACAAGGGTATAATAAGTAATCAACAAATATTCATCATAATTTCGAATATTTCCGGTAGTTGCACTTTAGTTGAAGACATGATGTTTCAAATTTTGGAATACATAAATTTGGATTTCTCTTTTTTGAGCAGATTGTTTCTTTTTGCAGCCGTCGACGCTCCATAAGTCCAACATATGGTGGTCCCAAACGACCAAGACATTCCCCTCCAGTGCGAGGTTGCTATCGCGGAAGAGGTTTTCGAGGGCGCTGGGGCGAACGTCAGATTTGTAAATTCTTTCGTGAAGGATACTGTAGAGACGTAAGTAATCTTAATTTGTTTACTATCTGTACCTTTTCAAAAGTAAAGCAGTTTTTGGAGAAAAATTTTTGGGAGAAAAGTAATCTAATTGCTCTGGCCAACTACCAAAGTTTTTTATCACTGTATTTTATGTCATTTAAAGGATTACAGAATTCTTGAAGCTTATGAAATTGTAAAAATATAATTTGCGAAATTCTAGGGCGAGAGCTGTTCGTATTCTCACGATGCTGCAGATTCTGGTCGCAAAGCTGAACTGTGCAAATTCTATCAACAAGGTTTTTGTAAAAAAGGTCTTCAGTGTCCTTTGCTGCATGGAGAGTACCCGTGTAAAGCTTTTCATAAAGGAGAATGCTCGAAAGATCCATGCCAATTTTCACATTTGCCTCTCAACAATTTCACACAGCCAATATTCGATCAGGTTAGCGGTTTCCCAGAGTGAACTAAGGTGATGTCTTCTTGCCGAAGGGTTGTTTCTTTACTAGTTATATGCTTCAGATGATGAAAGATGATGAGTTAGCGTCACGTATAGCTATTCCACAAGGACCTCTGAAGCGACGAGTCTTGCTTCCTGGTGGACCAAGTTCTTCACCTGGTGCTCAACCAACGGTACCGGCAATTGTTACAGTGACTGCAGATGGCGGAATAACTGGAGGTGTTATACCTCCACCTGCTGTCGTTGTTCCAACTCTATCATCGGGAGCATCGGTTACTATTGCTCAACCTCAACTCGTCATACCACCACCTTTGGCGGCTAATCCAACTCCCTACCCTGCTTTTTTTCCACACCATTCAATTCCAGCTACGGCTGTTGTGAATCCAACATCATTAAGTGGTGCTGTTCCAGGATTAGCACCGCCCCAACCGGTTCAGAGCGCAACGGTTATTCTACAGCAATATTCGGTTTGTTTCCCCATGTAGCGTTATAGTTGACAGAAAATTGATTTAAACGTTTCATACCAAGATACTATTAAAATATCGGTTTAGGCAAGTGTTGAGAAACGAAATTCAGTG